AGGTGGCGGTGCTCATACTGGGGCAGGGGCCTCCCATCCAGCAGCACCTGGCCCCCCGTGGGCTGGTACAGGTTCTGCAGCAGAGCAGCCACAGTGCTCTTCCCAGAGCCATTGGGTCCCACCAGGGCTGTCACCTCCCCAGGTCGTAGCGTGAACGTCAACCCCTAGATGCCGGAGAATTGCAACACAAGAGGCAGTTGGAGGCTCTAACCTCGACCTGTTCCTGTTCTGTTGCACTGCGTGGTATCGCTCCCCAGCAAATAAAGGGGAAATGGGGCAACACAGCAACCCACCCAGAGACTTCTGATATGATGCCTCCCCCTGAAGGAGAGGCGGAGAATGAGGCAAGACAAGGGCACAGTCAGGCACACTGTGCCACACGCCTGACACCAGGTGCCACCCAGAAGCTGAAAAAAACACATTCCAAAAACTGTACCAGGAAAGGTGCCTGGAGATACAGATTTCTCTGTGGCCACTCCTTGGAATGTGAGACACACACACACACACACACACACACACACACACATTCAAACCTCTTCTCCTACTTGGAAGCCCAAGCAAGCTTGAGTTTGCATGACACTAATGGAGCAGATGAGATTACGGAGGACCTAGACTTGATGTTAAAGCAGGAAGCAAGTTCAGGGCCTCAAAGGTGAGGAGGGTGGGCGGAACACGGGGATGAGAAGCTGTACCTGCAGCACCAAGACATCTGGACTGCTTGGGTAGGCAAAGGAGACATCTTGGAACTGGACGAGGCCCTCCATGCTCAAGGGAGCCAGCAAGCCGCTGGGTGGGCACTGAGGAGTCCGATCCAGGTATTCAAATATTTCCTTCGAGGAGCCCACTGCCTTGAGTATGAGGGGATATCGCCGCAGAAGTACCTGGGGTAGGCAGGGGTAGGGAGACTTAACCAGCTTGCAGCACTGTGTGGGTGAGGATGGGACAGGGAGGGACGGCGCTGCGGGGCGGGGCCTCACCTCAACAGCAGAGGTGAACTGCTTCTGGTACAGGACAAACGTGACGAGCTTTCCACTGCTGATGGCCCCGCCGGTCACCAGCTTCCCACCAGTGTAGAGGATGCCCACATTGAGCAGCATCCCCGAGACCTGGAGGGAGACCCACGAAGAAAAAAGGGCTGTGGTTGAAACAAAAAGCAAGTTTAGAGGAGACTCATAGAGTGATTAGTATTGAAGACATGAAGGCCTCTTCTCCCAAATAACGAGACAGGCCTGGCAGGCAGAAAAGGACACGTGAACTGCAGCGGAGCCCCAAGTCCTCTGTGTCCTCATCACCCACACGTTATCACCTTGCTGGGAGGGACACGTATGCTTCACAAGAAGCTTTTATGAAAATGGCAACAGCTAATACTCCCATTAAAGGGTCCCACTAAAAGAAATGCTGTAATTCTCTTTTTAAAATGAGAGAAAGTCTCAGCAAGGAGTCTCACATTACACTGCCATCGGCTCAGAGCTAACAATTGGCAGCCTTACGACATGGTTCCTGCTTTGACCCTTTTTTAAAAAAAATGTGTACCCAGACTTGTGATCCTCCTGTCTCAGCCTCCTCAGAGCTGGGATTACTGGCATGCATCACCAAGCCCAGTCTGGGGACCAGCATGGCATGCAGTACTGGGGTTCGAACATGGGTCCTTGTGCTTGCCAGGCAGGTGCTTAGACCGCTGAGCTATCTCCCCGGCTCTGGTTCTTGTCCCTGCACCTCCAGCCTCCGGCATTCCCTTGGATCCCAGGGCTCCCCTGGCACACGCATGCTATCCAGGCATAAAGCAGGCCCACATGGGAATCAGGCTTTCCCCAAAAGACAAAGGACTGGGAACCTGGGACACATGGCATTTCTCTAATCCACAAAGTTGGGTGACCTTCCTGTGCCACAGGGGAAGGAAGCCATCCAGCATCCCTGGCTGAGGACACTGAGTCGGGCCTGAGCCTCAGGCCGCCAGGGTGGAAACACAAAGCCAACTATTCCACAGCAAAGGGGACGGGCGGGGAGCAGAACTGGGCAAGGATCGGAGTCAGGCACCTCAGGGACAAGGCCCCAGGCGCTCACATGTGCGTACTCACACTGGTGGTCCCGAAGTCAGCTACGTAGGCCAGCGCTTTCTTCTGGTTGATGGGCTTTATTTTCTCCAGCTTCTGCCTGAACTTCTGGTCCTCGCCCTCCTCGTTGGCAAAGCTCCGGACCGTAGGCATCGCTGACAGGGCCTCGATGGCCACCTGGCTGGACTCAGCCAGAAACTGGTGCTCCTGTACTGCCAGAAACTGTGGGGACAGCACAGACACGAGCTGCCACATAGCGTGGGCAGCCACAGGGACTCTAACAGCAGAGCTGCCCAGCTGGAAATTCCAGGTGACAACAGTGGGGAGGTAGGCCGAGCAGCATGAGGCACACTTCTGCCCCTGGACACTAAGGAGATGCAGGGGAGAAGAAGGCGGCTCAGGCTGGGTGTGGGAACATAGTTAGTGGGAACCACCACTCATGGGCCGAAGGGAGAGGACAGAGTGCGGACGTTACTGCTGAGCCACGTAAGAACGTGGACTACAGAGACAGGGACAGGGAGTTCTATGGAGATGGAGAAGCAGGAAGGTCCAGGGGAGTCATGCCGACAGGGACCTGTCAATTCTGAGTGCTGAGGCTCCAGGACGTACCTTGTACCACTTCCCCAGCTTCCTGGGCAGAAGGAGCAGCAGGGGCAGGGCAGCCAGGTTGACCAGGGTGAGGGACGGTGACTCCCAGAACATGAACACCAGGGGCCACAGTCCTCGTACCAGGTACCACATCAGTATGGACAGCTCAGAGCCCAGAGACTCACACACACTGGCCGTGTCACTCGTCACCCGAGATGTGATGACTCCTGCCAGGGTTGGGAGGAAGACAGTAGAAGGAATGAGAATGCTCTGGGTGAGGTGGGGGCTGACCGAGCCAGGTGCCAGGGTGGAACCGTTCACATGGTGCCCACAAGGCTAGGGCTTCGGGTTGGTGTGGGGGCCTCCATGCAGGGTGATAAGTGTCAGAGAGGACAAGCCTAGCCAAAGCCCTTTGTCTGAAACCTGAAAAAATTCATCCGTATGTAATTTCCATTTGTCAGAATCATTTGTCTTCCCTACAAAATTTGTACATCCCTGCTGTATACTAGGTAAAAAAAAGTCCTGACCACCACCAGCAGGCACTGGTCAGAACCAGCCCTGCGCTAGGATGGAGGACACTGGGTTGAACCCCAAGTCTGTCTGTAGCCATGAGTGACCGTACAAATTTTAGCACTGTAGGCTTCAGTTTCCTTCTCGGGAAATGAGGCATTCCGCCTCTGTGGATTCAAAAGTCCTAGTCTGAAAGTTCTGTAGTTCCTAAGAATACAGAGGCCTATCTTCATAAAGAATCCTAGTTAAAAAGCGGTACGCCTTTATTAAGGCAAAGAAGATATATTAAGGTGAAATAACATGTGTGGCAAATGTGTAGGGAGGGAGGGATTGATCGTGGTTGTAATTAAAGAGCACACACGGTATAAAGAACAGACCAATGTAAAATGAAAGAATTCTGTATGAAACCTGCTTGGTTTTTCTGGAAGAAGTCGGTTTCCTGGTGCAACACAGCCTGAAACACCTCTCTCTGAAACTGGCTGGACACATGGCCCTTGGTGGTGTTGTACATGGCGTCACAGAAGAACTCCATCAGCCCACTGGAGAGAGAGACAGAGGGTGAGGACGTGCTGGGGAGGACAGGGAAGCCAGGCGGAGTCCCAGCGGGAGTGCTCACCCAAGTTGGTCCCCAAGGGTGAAGTCCCAGGCCCCCAAGGACCAAACTCAGGCCCCCAAGGGCCCATTCCCAGGGCCCCAAGGGCCAGCTCCAGACCTGGCTATGGTGATGACGACCATCAGGGATATTCTGTAAGTGAAGTCGGAGGCTGTTCTGTCTGGCAGCATCCAGTCAGTGAGGTGGCCAGTGAAGAAGGGAATGGCCATCTCTCCTGGGGACAGACAGAGGTCTGTCAGCCGCTAACCAGGCTGAGATGGGCCCCCCTGCCACCTCCAGGGCACTGGAGGCCAGAGGCAGGGCGAAAATGGGACTCATGGGGTCCCACCCTGATGAGCCCAGGAGAGCCCAACCCACTGTGGTACGGGGCAGCAGGGCCTCGTACCACAGCCCTGGATTCCAGTCCCGCCCTGCAGCCCCCTTACCCAGACAGGAGAGGACCAACAAGGCCAGAATCAGCGGGAGGCGGCGAATCTCGGGGCCCAGGAGGCCTAGGAGCCTGTGCAGTGAGTCCTCGGCGCCACCACGGGCGCCGGGCCCCCAGAGGCTCCCGAGCTTGTGCCACAGGGCAGCTGCGGGCAGGGCTGTCGCATAGCAGAGGATGAAGGCGTCGGGGCGGCTTCCCCAGTGCAGAGCTCGGGTGCCGTCAGAGTCCCCGTGGGCTCCCCCGGAGACCTGCCGTCGGAACAAGGCTAGTGCCGGCAGGGCCAGGCCCAGCACGGCTGCCAGGGGCTCCAAGGCACTGAGCCACCCGCGGTCGCGGGCGCCGACCGCTACCCTGAGGATGCCGCGGGTGCCCACCCACAGCACGGCCCAGCGGGCCAGGCCCAGCACCCAGGCCCGGAGCAGCGGGGACGCCCCGGGCAGCAGCAGCGAAGCGGCGGCGGGCAGCGCGGGCCGGAGCAGCGCCCAGTCGGCGAGCAGGAGCAGCGCGGCGCCCAGCCAGGCAGGACGAGGTCGGGGCATGGTGGTGCAGTGCTGCCGGGTCCCGGGGCTGCGCGACGGCGACGGCGACGGCCCTACCAGCACCAACGAGCGGGCGCCGGGGCAGAGCAGGAGCGGGGCTGGGGCGCGCCGGGCAGTCCCCGCTCTCGGAAAGTCCCGGCCCGGCCCGCGCCAGAGCCGCTGCCTGGAAGCTCTGCCTTTTAAAGGAAAAGGAAACCGAAAGCCGCGCCGGCTCCCGAGGCCCGCCCCCTCCGCCGGGGGCCCGCCCCAGCCCTGCGGCGCCCTGGGACTCCGAGCAGACGCTGCGGCCGCGACGCCTCGCTGGCCTTATCGCGCGCGTCCCGTCCCGGGTCCCTGCTCCGGGCTCGCCAGCTCGAGCGGGTTTTCTCCTAGCTCGTGGCGGTCGCCGGGCAAATCCGCGACTTGGGGGAGCGCGAGCGCCTCCTAGCGGGCGCGAGGAGCCAAAAACCCGCAAAGTGCGCGGAACCAGATCGCAGGCGGGAGCGTGATGCTGAGGCTCGGGGCGTTCGCCTGGGACCTGCCCGGAGCCGGCGAAGTCCACACCGGGGTGCGGCGTGGGTCTGGGATCCACAGAGGAGTGGAGGTGGCGGGGCGGTGGGAGCCCTGTGAGATGGGGAGTGGATGTGGAGACGACGGGAGCTGGGGGCCGTCCGATGCGTGCGCCCTACTGTGAACCCCGGGTGTCTTTGCGGACGGGAGCCCGGGGTCCTGCGGGACTAGGCCTGAGACGCCTGGGAGCGGGGTCTGGCTCCTTAATGGGAGCGGCAGGGACGCCGCGGGGAGCTTTCGCTTTCACTCTCCTCGAGGCTGCGGGGCTGTCACCCCAAGCGGGCTGGAGTCCCTGCAGAAACGGATGGCATAGCCCTGAGCTTGCAGGAAGAGGGGCGCGGACGTCCACTGCTCACGCGTGGCGTCTCATTACCCGAGTACTCGCACCGCCGCTGACGGTGTGGGTGGGCGAGTCCACCACGCCGTCCGAGCGACCCCAAGGCTCTTGCTGCCCCGGCCCGGATTCACCATCCCAGCCCTCCCAGGTGGAACCTATGCCTCCCCGAGGCCACCAGCTTCCCCTGACACTACCACCTCTCATGGCTGGGGCGCACATGGTGCAGAGCCGCGGCCTCTGGGATGGGTCTAGCTTAGCTCCCTGGTCAGGTGTGCTTGGTGAGTCAGGGTGTGCGGAGAGCAGGCACGGGGCGAGATCCTGGACACAACAGAGTGCGGTGGGAAGGGGAGGGGATGATGGAGCAAGCCTACTCTCCCTGCCAGCTGACAAGCCGAGAGCAAGATGTGAAACCCGGGCCTAGGAGTTAGGCCTGGGATTCAGTCTAGGGTCTGTTGTTCCCTGTCGCGTAGAATAGGTGTTCTCAAATGAACTCAGGAACTTTAAGGCCTGGAGCTCAACGGGAGTGGAAGGAGTGGCGCTTTATCCTCCTCCGCTCTCCCTTCAATCTGTTCCTGGCCCAGAAAAGTCGGCTAGGCCTCACAGTCAGTCCTCCCCTGGTACAGCCCTCCTGCGCTGGTAAGCTCTTTACCTCTAAGTGCCTTCAGAGCGAGGTTTCTCTTCCTCCCAGTGTGCTGCTTGCTGCTCCTTACTGCCGTCCTCGCTTTGAGCCCTGTCTGCGCTCAGCGCCAGTCCTTGATGAGCCCCATTGCTCGGTGCATTCTGAGGGCTCCTTCCTGATTAATCAGAGGCGCGAGTGGAGGCTTCCAGGCCAGAAAGACCTGATCTTGTTTCCCGAGTCCTCGGGCACTTGTGCTGCGTCGGGCTGCGCTGAGCGGGCAGGCTTTGTGACTTCTCTCCAGAGCTGAGTTTAGGAACATTGTTCTTTCTTGTTGCATTGCAGCCAGGCTGTGACATTGCCCTGCGGATGAGCCAACAACAACGTGAAAAGATTGGGGAGGGGGCGACGGTACTGGGGTCAGCTCAAGCCGAGTGACTGCGGGACTTCCAAGCACTGCGAATGTTTCATCTTCTGTGACACAAGGCTCAAGGCCCCTTCTGCACTGACAGCTCTTATTCTGTCCTTGCAGACAACCATCATGGCAGTGGAGTTTGACGGCGGCGTCGTGCTGGGTTCCGACTCCCGGGTCTCTGCGGGGTGAGTGCCAGCCAAGACGTGTGCCTTCGGAAGCACACTAGTGGCCCCCCAACACGCTTTCCTCACCCATCCATGAGCGATCTGACCGACGGGGCCTTTCAGGAAGCGGAGCTGACGCTTCAGAGCAGCATGATGTGGGCACCGTGTGGTGTCGGAATCCGTGAAGCGGGACCTGGGGTCTGGGTGCTTCGGTGACCTGACCCTGGGTGAGCACGGTTGGCGTAAGGTCAGAAGAGGCCCCGCGGCTGGCTTTTGCTTCTATCTGAGTACAAATTTTAAATGTTTCTGTCAAGCAGATATCTTGCTTCTCACTTACCACGTCTTGAACTAATTTTTATCTCTTTTGGATTTCTAGCCGCATGTAAAGAGAGTGTGTGGGCTTAGATCAGTATTCCTTAGTGTTCCGTAGACTATAACATAATTCAGGATGATCAACAGCAAAGAAACACGGATAGGATGCACATTTCTCTTAACTTTTTGCTTTATTATAAACTCTAAGCCTGGAAAAGTCTAGGTTTGAAAGTCCTCTTTGTGTGTGTGTGTGTGTGTGTGTGTGTGTGTGTGTGTAACCGGGGATTGAACTCAGGCCCTTGCCCTTGCCAGGCAAATGCTTATTCTACTGAGCCATCTCCCCATCCCAATTTTGATTAACACAGTGATTGCTTTATCTGAGACAATGTGTTTGCTTTCCTCCTTCATCCAAGCGTTAACTTCAAACTATCCTCTTGTCAGATTAAGCTTGAGAAACGCGGGCTGATTGACCATAGCATCCCCCCAATGCTAATGTTGATGGCTGCTGGCTCCTTCCCACAGACAGGCCGTGGTGAACCGAGTGTTTGACAAGCTGTCCCCACTGCACAAGCGCATCTACTGTGCCATGTCCGGCTCTGCTGCTGACGCCCAGGCTGTGGTTGACTCGGCCGCCTACCAGCTGGAGCTGCATGGGTACGAAGCTCGGGTCCTGACTCCCCGCCAGCTCCAGTTCCCCGGCTGCAGCGGCCTGTGCTGCGCCCGCCCCAGGGGCGCTGTTTTGGCTTCTGCTTTTACGAGCTTTGAACCAGAGCTTGAACCTCTGCCAGGTTCTGCACCTGCAAGGTGGAGACGCTAGTGCCTGCCCTCCCTCACTGGGGGGCTGTTTGAAAGTCAGTGATATATTAAAAAACTGGAAATCACTACCCTAATATAAATAATCAGGGAGACAGTGATGTGACCCCCCAATATCAGGCAGTTACCACACACAAAGCTAAGGTCACTTATCTGCCTCACCCATGAGGGCAGGGCACATAAGTGGTTGCTGCAGCCAGGAGAGGGCTGTGTCTTTGCCAGGAGGTCGTGGGGGGCAGAGGGAAGGAGGGTAAATGATGGAACGCTCTTTCCCTTGGGAGCGATGGGCTCTACTTCCCCTGCGCATGTGGGAGGGAAGCCCCAGTTGCACCTACTGCAGCTGTAGGTTCAAGTGCCTTGTGGCAGGGAGGAGGATCCGAAAATTCTGTCTAACGTTTCCTCCAGGATAGAACTGGAAGAACCGCCCCTTGTTCTGGCTGCTGCGAACGTGGTGAAGAACATTTCCTACAAATACCGGGAGGAGCTGTTGGCACATCTCATTATAGCTGGCTGGGACCAACGGGAAGGGGGCCAGGTGAGTCCCTCCGAAGGCAGCCCTTTCTCGGGGTTTCCCACTCCGCTCTGCAGGGCGGCGAGGCCCTGAGTCATGCTAGCAGTGTTCCTCTAAAAGCATGCTACAATCTCAGCTGCTAGAGAGATGAGGTAGTAGGACCTCGCTGCCAGGTGCAGATACCGCCAGCCCGATTTAGGGACAGAGCAGTTGGATGAGTCTCTGGGCTGACGGAAGATCCTCCGCAGGTCTACGGGACCCTGGGAGGGATGCTGACGCGACAGCCCTTCATCATCGGTGGCTCTGGCAGCACCTACATCCACGGTTATGTGGACGCGGCGTACAAAGCAGGCATGTCCCCTGAGGAGTGCAGGCGCTTCACCACGCACGGTAACTAAGGCGGCGGGAAACCTCGGAGGGGCGCTACACGCGGGCCGGAAGTGGATTAGGAGGAGCAGGAAGAGGGCTGCGTGGATGGACTTTTCACTTAATGTCCAAACTGGGACGCTTCTGAGAGCCACAGGGCGTCAGGGTAAGTGCTAGAGTAGAAGGGCCTTTGGGACAACAGGGACACGTCAGCACTGCTCTGAATAAGCCCAGTGGGATGTGTGGTCACCAGCAGACCTGCGTGCCCCAATCGGCTCACCAGAGATGACTGTCAAAACCCAAGAACGAGGCAGCTACTTACATCCTTCACAGCAGTGTTTATATCGCCGGCTTGATCAGATGCTGCCTACTTTTGCTTTTTAAGCACGCCAGTAAAGAGGGCTCTCTGGAAGGCAGGACTTAAAGTGAAAGTGGTAGTCGGCGGCGTGAGGACAGGAGGGGGAGGAAGTGAGTTTTGAAGCTAAGCCATCCTCTCCTCCTCTCTCCAACCTGAACCGCTCTGCAGCTATCGCCCTGGCCATGAACCGGGATTGCGCCAGTGGGGGTGTCGTCTACCTGGTCACTATCACGGCTGCTGGCGCGGACCATCGAGTGATCTTGGGGAACGAGCTGCCAAAATTCTATGACAAGTAACTGTACCGCCAGCTTCCCTTTCTTGTTTGTAATAAACTCGCTGGGGCAAGAAGCTGGTATGGTCAATGGGAAGGGAGTGTTGGGGAGGGGAAGCGCGGGGCAGGGCCGTTCTTCCCTCCCAGGTGGCAACAAGCCTATTTATTTATTTTGTGCTGGAGATTGAACTCAGGACCTTGCATTTGCTAGGCAGGTGCTCATGCCGCTGAGCTGTCTCCCTGGCCCCTTCTGTTTTTACCCCTGGTCTGAAACATCTTTCTCAGAGAAAGAAGAGAGGAGTGTGCTGGGGTTAGAGAGAGCCCTGTACATGACAGGTCACTGTGTATTGAGTGACTTTTAAAGATTATGAGTCATAAAAATTCTCCCAGGGCTTCCACGGAGCTCAGCAGCAAAGCCCATTAGCAAATCCCGTGCTGCCACACCGGAGGCCCCAGATTCAACCCTAGCACTGAAAAACACAAAAAGTTTATTCTGAGGCTCCAGGGTTGGGGTGCGGAGAAGCGGCCCTACACGATTGTCGTTGACAGGAAGTTGTCGCAGGTGCTGAGTAACTGTTAAACAAAGCTGAGCCCCGGGCCTATCGTTGCCACGCGTTTCCTGTGAGCCCCGGTTTTCTCCCTGTCACAGTGCTGAGTGACTTCTGAGGCAGTTCACAGCTCCGGCAGGGCTGTATGCTAATAAGTGAACTCTCAGCAAGCAGACTTTTGCTAACACATGAACTATGTAAGAGAAATACAGTAGCTCTCAGGCCAAATGTACAAACTCAAGGTCCCCCGAGCAATCCTACGTCCTTGGGAGTGGCGGGGGAATCTACTCACAGACGGCCCAAGGTGTTTCTAGCCTTGCTATTTAACTTACTCTGAATTTTGAAATAATAGTCTAAAGCCGACCTGTCCCACCCATCATGACTAGAAGCCCAAGCACCCAGAGGACGCTGGAAGTGAACAAGAGCAGGGGCTGCAGGTGGTCAGCCCCAGAGACGCCGCGTCCCGGGTGTGGCGCCCACAGCTCTGCCCTAGAGCTGCTCGCAGGCGCTCGGCTGCTCCATGACTTAGTGCAGGTGCCAGCCCACGCTCAGGAAAGAAACGGGGCTGGGACGCAGGAGAGTGGAGGGGAATCTCCAGAATGAGCGCCTGGAGAGGGCCCCCCTGATCGCAGGCGAAGCGCACCAAGGCCCTGTCAGGCCCTGTCACCCCGACACATCTGTGCGTCCTGCCCTAAGCAGCAAAGGCTTGAAAAACTAAATCAAGATTTAAGGCTGCTTCAAGCCATTCAAATTGGAAAGCTTCAATTTTTTAATTGGCCACTTTGTTCTCAGTATCAATTCAATTTTTCTCTTTATAATTTCTTTCATTATTTTGCTCAGTTGCTCCCCCCCCCCCAGTTTGTACAGGATAATTTTAGATCCATTATCTTTGAAGTATTTGAAACCATGAAATTTTTTGTTTTTTGTTTTGCGATACAGGGGATTGAACTTGGGACCTTGCACTTGCCAGGCAGGTGCTTATGCCACTGAGCTATATCCCCGGCCCCATGAAATTCTTTTACAGTACCACTTTATCTATACCTACAAAATTTAGTACGTCATATTTCTGCCACTGTCCCCTCCTACCCTCCATTCTTAAAAAGGGTTTGTAACATTTCCAGAGGTGGGCACAATTTACAGAGGCAGAACAACCTGGGGCAAAGGGAAAATCAGGTTAAGAAAATACCCGAAGCTGAACACTAAAAACTAATACACAACGTGAGTGTCTTAAAAGAAGTGATATGGAGCTGGCTTATAAAACCAGATCAAAAATACCCAGGAGCTGTGCGGGGCCACCTAGCCAGGCCCAGGACTGACTGTGGGCGAGTACCGGCACCCCTGAAATCAGGAGCTGTGCGGGGCCACCTGGCCAGGCCCAGGACCGAGCGTGGG